AAAAAAAAAAAAAATCCTTCTCTCTTCCTCCAACAGATCTCCTTAGGCAATATTTTCAGGTAGGACACCAGTGTGCGCATTTGACATGGATTGCAGATTCCATATACATTAACACATTAATAGTAGGTCAACTGGTTCTAAAGCCTATATTTCTATTTAAAATATCTTATCATAAAAATATACTGATTTTATAAACTGTTTAATAAATTACAGAAGATCAGTTTCACTGTTCATGACAGTCACGTACAGACTGAGGCCAAATTCAACCCTAATGTGTGTAAGCTTAAGTCCACTGAAGCTGCTGGACTTGCACAGAAATGGAGTTTGGCCCTTGATTTATATTTTACAGGAATAAAATAAGTATATTGAGGGAGATAAACTAAGCATAAGGACAGAATAAAGAAACTGAACTTCAGGAGGGATTAAGAAAAGCAGGGTGTCCCTTATTTCCAAGCAGACTTTCAGTTTTGAGAAGGAAAATTCACCCTTCAGCCATTATGTAATCAGCTTGTATTGCTTTTACCACAACAAAATCCTGGTAAGGTTCTGTTAGTTCCTTCCCAAACCATAACTTTACATTTGGGGGGAAAGAGGGGAAGCTATTAATGTAACTTGTAACAGATTCCTTCTGGAATAGCAGAGTCAGCACAATCCAGTTTGTATTAGTTTTCCTTATTCTTGGATATACCTTCTGCCTTAAAGTGAGTTTCTGTATCTATATGCTTGCTCAGAGCTATTCTTAAGGACAAAATCCTAGTCTGTACCCAAGCAAGACTTCCACTAAACCAAGAACGCCATGTGCCCCTGGAGGCAGAGGGGGCTAGGTGAGCTCCCGCAGGTGGCGGTGGTGCTGTCAGCGGCAAGGGAGGAGCTCCCACAGGCAGCCACGGCACTGTTGGCGGTGGGAGAAGGGAAGGGGAGGGGAGTGGCAAACGCTGACCGGCAGTTGACAACCACCCACAGATGCCACTAGCAGCACTGGCAATCACGGACTGCTCGCAGACGCTGCTGGCAGTGCCAGTGGTGAGAGGCAACTGCCCACAGGGGATGCACCACCACGCTCAGGGCGGTGCACCCGCATGCACCCCCTACGCATTGTCAATGCACTACACTTCATGTAGGACATAACATGCAATGTAACATGATGTTAGCAGAAGGCATAGCAGGGCAGCCCCTGAGAAGCCAGGGCTGTAACTGGCAGCGCACAGATCTTATGCATCCAATGAGGGTTAGTGTGCAGCCTTCCTGGACTCCGACCCAGCCTCTGCTCCCTCTGTCCATCCAGCTGCAAGAGCAGCTGGGGGTTCAGGACTCCCCCTCCCTCCTCTGGCTTCTGCTTCCTGCCCCGGGGGGTGGGGCATGGCATAGCCCCTAGCCTGAGGTACCCACACAACATGGTGAAGTGCAGCAAGGGGACATGCATGCAGCGTGCAGTCTGGGAAGAGGGGGAGGAGAGGGGCTGTGGCTTGTACTGGTGCAGCCTGTGTGGCATACAATCAGGCTGCATAGAAATTGGACAGACCTGTTAGAGAATAACTTGTTAGAGACAAAGACACCTTCAGACTAATATGGTTAACTACCTATCTATATGAGGTTAGCAGTGGTTGTCCATCCCACCCCCCACCACACAAAGAACTGAGTCAGGAAAAGGGGAAGAAGTGAATTTCCTCTACAGTTAGAGGGGAAAAAAAAAAACAAACGTATTTTTCCACTTGCTGTCCTCACAGATTGGAGAAAACAGAACACACTGTTCTGTTACAGCTGAGCAAAATGGGGATAGGAAGCAGTAAGTTGGTCAAAGCATCTAGTAAAACCAGATCCAAGAGGAAGTACAGAAGAAAAGACTAGAGAAAAATGGACTCTTTCCCTCAAAAAAGTAAAGAAACATTGCTAAACAAGTGGACTTCTTCCAACACAGGATTGGAAGAAGACCCCCAAAGCAGAGGACCATCTAAACTGGGGGGGGGTGGGGGGTGGAAATGCGTCCCAGGGGCCAGATGCAGCCCGCCAGACCATTCCATCCGGCTCGCAGGGCCTCTAGAAAATTTATAAAATTAGTGTTTATCTGCCCCGGGCTGCCTGTCATGTGGCCCTTGATGGCTTGCCAACACTCAGTAAGCAACCCTCCACCCAAAATAATTGCCCAACCCTGATCTAAACAGTGGCACAAAGGAATTAAAAGAAGCTGCTTTAACACACATACAAGCAGCAGGAGAAAACCCAAGTCAAAACTTTCATAAAAGGTATACAAACTCTTGCTTCTGGCTAGACAATGAACCCATTCCCGCCCCCCCCCTGTAATTAAGAAATTTCCTCAGGAATAATGAGCTTTCTTATACCCAAAGAAAAGATGTACCAGTTGGCCTGTAGCTGAAAGACAGCTTAGGGCCTAACTGAAGTAGAAGTGCCTTTCTGTCCATTCTCATAAAACAGCAAATCTGCAGGATCAACAAAAAATAATTTGAGTATTGTTAGATCAATGATGCTGAAATAAATATTCTTAGCTATAATCACAAGGTAAAATTATAAATTATGAATACAAGCTAATGAAAAAGTGTGTGAAAATGTTTAAGAAGTTTCATTTGGGCATATTTCGGTTATAGAATATCTTGAGACCCTATACTGCAGCTATGCAATTTTACAGATGTGCTTTAAGATTTGACACATTTCATTCAAAAAGAGATAATGAATTTACTTTAAAATAGCCAAAAACATGCTCTGAAAGAAATTGTGAGAGAGCCCTCTCTCACTTCACTACACCAATGAAGATGCTATGCTGAACAGCTGGTTACTAAAAAACATCTGATGAACACATTAGATCAGGTCTTTGAATTATATGAAAGTTTCCCAGATCAATTTTTTTTAAAGTGCATAATGAAATACTTAGAACTATCACACATATAACAATCTCTTTTGTGGCTTTATTGAACACATACACAAGATGTTACTATAAATATAAAACTAGAATCATGTAAAAGGGTACATTAAAATTTTTGTTTCCACCTGGTGAGGGGTTTATTATTTTTTTTAATATTCTGTCTTCAGCCATCAGGTTACATACTAGCAGTAATAAAGAAAAAATATATTTAAAAAAATCTCCCTCCTTCATTTAAGGGGGTTCTTTGGATTGCTTTGCCCCAGAAGGTATTGCTAAAAATACATTCTGCTGGGATTCAAGAGAAAAAATGCTCAATATTACCATTATTTTGATACCCATGTTATTCCATGGTAAAGGTAGTAAAAGGCATGTCCTGCTCAGGCACAAAGACCTGAACTGGTTGGCAAATTTGGCATCAGGAAGATTTTGTCCCTCCAAAACTATCCTGAAATTCATGGGGATGAGAAATTGCCTTCCTCTGAAGCACTGAACAGGGATCAGTTAAAATTGATGGTGTATAACCTGTATGATCAGTTTTCTTCCATTGTACTGCTTGAAGGACACTGAAATGCTGGTGAATTTATGCTCCTTCCCCAGTTTTTTTCTTTTCAATTTATTAATAATACTCTAAAGAACCAATACACCTTCCACTAAAGTGAGCAGAAAGACAACTTGTGATTTCAGTGGAAGTTTAGCTCCCATAGGAGCTTGTCTTTCAAATCCAATGCTATACTAAAGAATGGAATCTCTTTTCTGCATTTACCAGCTACCTACTGACAATATAAAACTTCATTGAAGTAAAAGAAATTAAGTGGGGTACCCAGAATTAGGAACAGCCCGTCAACTAAAATCTGAAGAGAATTTATCAAGTCAACTTATATGCACTCGGACTATGCTAAAAGTTCATAAAACTCACTTCTCAGCTCAAAAAGAGGCTTCTGTTTCTGCTGAAACATTTGGACTTCCCGCCCTTCTGAGAGCCAAGCCTACACACCTGAAAACCTGAGGAATTTTATATCGCTGATTTCCTTGGAGAATATAACTTGTATTGTGCAAACCAGTTAAACAGAAAAAACCCAGAAATCCCATACTCAGTGTGGATCTAACCCTTTTTAACTAATGGACACTAGAGACAGTGTGCTTTATAAACAAAGCAAAGCAAGACATCTGTTCAGTCTAACAACAGACAGTTGAAGCAGATTTTAAACAGCTGTTTTAATATTTTACAGATTTTAAAAATAATCACTGGTAAATTTTAAAAATATTGACTAAAACTTCTCACCTTTTTTTTTTTTTTAAAAAAAAAAAAAGGGGAGGAGGTTTAGGCAATTTTTTTAAAATTAACCCTGGTAAATTTTAAAAAATTTGCCAAAAATTTTCCCCTTTTTTTTTTTTTAAATAAAAAGTTATTTCCTTGACACACTTCCCTCCCATGGATTAACATTAGAATCAGAAACAGGACATGCAGTCAAACTATTTTTTTTTACTACTTCTGCCTTAGTTATATGGCAGAAGTTTGATGATTTTATGTATGGCCTTTTCTGCTTTTTTGGGGTGTAGACAGAGTAAGTTATGCAGGGACTGATTCTCAAAGAAAGCTTTTTCAGCTCAAGTATGTAAGTATGGAAGCCACTACAAAAGGCACTTGTGATAAACATTTCTATGGTCAGCCAGAGGTATTATACAGGTAACCCTTTTACTATGCTGCTACTTACAGTAACTTGCATGGAATGTGGTTGTGATTTAAGGATGGCCTCTAAAGCTAAATTTCGAGCCTTGGTGGTTCTATACAACTGGAAAAGATTTGGGTTGTTTTCATTTGGATAGGCATTTCCCTCGATTAATCAACACCCCTCCCTGTATTTTTCACTCTGACATCTGCAAAGGTTTCCTGTGTGATGGTGGCACCAGGTGTGGAGGCAAGTTGTTGGGTAGTTCATACCCATCTAGTTTAATCTTGATGAGATGCTTCGCCAATGCAAACTCCTCATCATCCAACATCCCATCATTATCACAGTCTGAAAGTTTCCAGATTTTCCCCAGGACACTGTTTGGTAATTTGGAAGTCACCATTTCCTTCTTCGCACTAACCCCTGAGATTTTTCCATTGACTGGTGACAGAGTATAGAAGATCTCATCATACACAGGTTTATCTTTGGCAACAATCCACTCTTCTTCACCAGCTCCTTCCTTGGCACCTTCCCCATACCCATGGTCAAAGGGTCCCGCCATGGTGCCATCAAATGCTCCACCATGCACCATCTGTGTAGGCATGCTGTTTTCTTCCTGAGAGATTAGATTCATCAGAGAGGCAATTTTATTTGCCAACATGTTATCCACCGCTTCAATCAGCTTTGGTTTCAGAGAATGAAATTTGGTGAAGTCACAAACCTCCAGTTGTTCCTGCCAATGAAGAACACGCATACATAAACAAAACATGTCAAAAGTTTCTTGACAAAAACTTTCCTTACTCTACCTTTGTTGTGGTACCTGCTTCAAATGAAGGCCTCTGTCTTTAGAAATCTTATTGAAAGCAGTTCCAACAAAAAGAGCCTCCAGGGTCTTACACTCCATGGGGCTCACGTGTCCACAGATGTGAACTGTCCCTACCAGTCCACATCACTACCCTGTGCCTATCCCTACCACAGGTAACCCACCAGGATGTGGAGGCTGGGGCTTTAAGGCACCTCTTACTTGTCTTTCACTGGAGAGGCAACTGGCCTGGTATTTCCTGGGAACTGCCCCACCATGGGCAGACCCACCAGACCATCCTCCCCAGCCAGGTGTAGCTTTTGGTCATGCCCCAGGACCAGGAGCCTCCTGGCATCCCCATAGCTTCTGTCCTTACCTCCAAGAAAGTTCCATGAACAGTGGCTCAGCCAGGCAGTGTTTTTTCCAGCTGGTTGAAGCAACTGCTGCCTCAGTCCTGAGGGCCTAGGTTTAAAATGGAGGCTGCTCAGCCCCTCTTAGGAGCCCCTCCTGTTTACTGCATCTTCAGCTATTTACCTAGTTTCCTTAAAATAATATAATGATTTATACTACTTGCTAGTCAATACTAATATTAATAATGTCTAGAGTTAATTCATGCATCTGCACAGTCTCCTAGCTCCTGAGGGACACCTATTTTAATGGGACGTATTTAAAAATATTTGGACCTCCTCCAGTTGGCTGAACCTACTAAAAAGACGGATTTTAAAATAGTACTCATCTTACTATAGCAAAATGCTAGTAACCAATGTTCTTGCTAACAACTGAGGCAACTTAGGCCTGGTCTGCATGACAAAGTGATGCTGGTACACCCACAACAGATGGGTTGTAAAACACCCCCTTCACCAAGATGCGCATGCCAGCAAAACCCTTTAGGGTAGATGCAAGTATGCCAAGAAATAAGGGCATTTGCTAGCTTAGCTTATGTCATTTGTTAAAGTGATGTAGCTACTCCAGCAGAAATATTCCTTCTGTTAGTATGTTGCAACAGGATTTCTCATGTAACAGCAGGTGGCAGCAAATATGCACAACTGAGAGAATTATACCATTTTTTTCACAAGTTCTGTTGAGAAGTTTATTACAATTACAAACCCAGCTCAAAGGTTTTACTTTTTTCTTTACTTGGTCCTTAACTCCACCATCAGTGACCAGTTAACACAGAGGGAGACTATATTTAACATGTTTTCATCATATAAATCCCTTTTAAAACCTCTTCATCATTAACAACCTCTCCACTGTTCAGCTCCTGAACTAAGCCTTTTGTTCTTCTCACCTTACCGCTCATACAATTTGCTGATTTCTAAATGACCTGTATGTACTCAAAATACAGGCTGGGCCATCATTATGGATGAAAATATCTGCTCAATGCACGAGTGGTGAATTAATCAAATAAAAAATTATAAAATGTAAAGAATGGGAAAGAAAATTATTCTGAAAAGTTCATGCTGCCACAATGGTGCTTCAACAGCTTACGACCAACCTAAACAGAAAGCAACCAATTTCTTCCAATTCAGGAAACTTAGTACGTGCCCGCTGCAGTGGGGGTAGAGAGAGATCATGCAGCTGGGAAGGAATTGCACAGGTGCATGTTGCAGCTGGGGGCAGGGAAGGAAGGAATTGCTTGGGTTGCAGTTGAGGGAAGACAGAAAAACGCCTATGGTGTGCATGGTAGAGCACCTTTGGTGCCTGCCACTTCAAGGGGCAGAGCAGGCAACAGGGTAGCTGGCAGGTGTAAGCTAGCATAATGAGCCGGTCACACGACTGCAGGACAGCACTGAGATAGGAGGAGGGGGATGAGCGGCCTCCATTTTAAACCCAGGCCCTCAGGATTGAGGCAGCAGTTTCATAGTTTGTAGGGTCGGAAGGGACCTGAGCAGATCAAGTCTGACCCCCTGCCATGGCAGGAAAGAGTACTGGGGTCAAATGACCCCGGCCAGGTGTTCATCTAGCCTCCTCTTAAAGACCCCCAGGGTAGGAGCCAGCACCACTTTTCTTGAAAGTTGTTTCCAGATCCTAGCTGCCCTGACCGTGAAGTAGCGCCTCCTGATGTCTAGTCTGAATCTGTCCTCTGTCAGCTTGTGACTGTTATTTCTAGTCACTCCTGGTAGCGCTCGGGGGAACAGGGACTCCTCTAGTGCCTGCTGGTCCCCTCTGACTAGTTTGTAAATGGCCACTAGATCCCCCCTCGGTCTTCTCTTGTGGAGGCTGAACAGGTTCAGGTCCCGTAGCCTCTCCTTATAGCACCTGCCCTGCTGCCCCCTGATCATGCAAGTGGCCCTCCTCTGGACCCTCTCCATGTTGTCCACATCCCTCTTGAAGTGCGGTGCCCAGAACTGGATGCAGTACTCCAGCTGTGGTCTGACCAGTGTCTTATAGATGGGGAGGATCACCTCCTTGGATCTGCCTGAGATGCATCTGTGGATGCATGACAAGGTACGGTTGGCCTTCCTGACCACGTCCCCACACTGTCAGCCCATGTTCATAGTGGCCTCAATAATGACTCCAAGATCCTTCTCTGCCTCTGCACTGATGAGAAGGGAGTTCCCCAGCCTGTAGGTATGCTGCTGGTTCTTCCCCCCCCGGTGCAGTACCCTGCACTTGTCAGTGTTGAAACCCATCCTGTTCTCTTCCACCCACCCCTGTAGCCTGTCCAGATCTGACTGCAGCCTATTCCTTCCTTCTAGCGTGCCCACTTCTCCCCACATCTTAGTGTCATCTGCAAATTTGAACAGGGTGCATTTTACCCCTTTGTCCAAGTCGCTGAAGAAGATGTTGAACAGTGCGGGCCCGAGGATCAAGCCCTGCGGAACCCCACTGCCCATATCCCTCCAGGTCGAATAAGACCCGTCCACCACCACTCTCTGGGTGCGGCCCTCCAGCCAATTGGCGACCCATTTGACTGTGCAGGCATTGACACCACAGTCTCCTAGTTTTTTTTAATGAGAATGGGGTGAGAGACCATATCAAAGGCCTTCCTAAAGTCCAGAAAGACTATATCCACCGCGACACCTGCATCCAGGGATTTGGTGACCTGGTCATAGAAGGCCACCAGGTTGGTCTGACAGGACCTGCCTCTAATGAACCCATGTTGGTTACCCCTAAGCATAGTCTCCCCTGCTGGTCCCTTGTGGACATGCGCCAGGATAATTTTCTCAAAAAGCTTCCCCAGGTAAGACTAATGGGCCTATAGTTTCCTGGGTCCTCCTTCCTCCCTTTTTTGAAAATGGGAACCACATTGGCCCTTTTCCAGTCCTCCGGCACATCGCCAGAGCACCATGAGTGCTTGTAAAGCTGTGCCAGAAGTCCCGCAATAACCTCTGCTAGTTCCCTCAGCACTCTGGGGTGGAGATCATCAGGACCTGCTGATTTAAATACATCCAGTCCTTCCATAAGTTCCCCGACTAGGTCCTTGCTGACCCTAGGCCTGGGTGTGTCTCCCATGGGGCCTACTGGGGTCCCAGTGTGGGGGATGACCAGGTCCCTACTCAGAAAAATGGAGGCAAAGAAATTGTTAAATAGGTTAGCTTTGCTGTCTGGTGCGACGACCAGAGTTCCTAGCATGTCCTGCAGAGACCCCACATTACCCGGTACCTTCTTTTTACCCCCTATGTATTTAAAACAGGACTTCTTGTTGTCCTTGATCTGGGTAGCTAGTCCCAGTTCCATCTCTGCCTTGGCCTTCCTGACCACCCCCCTACAGCGCCGAGCTACCAAGGTATAGTCCTCTCTGGTGATGGCCCCTCCCTTCTAATGGGTGTACGCCTCCTTTTTAGCTTGGAGACGTTTCCGGATGCTTTTGGTAAGCCATGGAGGCCTTTGCGCCCTCTTGCCCCCTTTGATCCATGTAGGGATTACCTGCCTTTAGGCTACAACCAGCTGGAAAAAACACTGCCTGGCTGAGCTGCTGTTCATGGAACATCCCTGAAGGTAAGGGCAAAAGCTATGGGGATGCCAGGAGGCTCCTGGTCCTGGGGCATGACCAAAAGCTACACCCTGCTGGGGAGGATGGTCTGGTGGGTCTGCCCATGGTGGGGTAGTTCCCAGGAAATACCAGGCCAATTACCTCCCCAGTGAAAGACAAAGTAAGAGGTGCCTTAAAGCCTCAGTCCCCACATCTTGGTGGGTTACCTGTGGTAGGGACAGGCACGGGGTAGGGACAGGTCATATCTGTAGACACCTGAGCCCCATGGAGTGTAAGACCTTGGAGGCTCCAGAGAAGGGGCAGAGAGAGTGGCCCTAGTGAGGGGCAGAAACGTGTGGTGGCCCACACAGAGTAGGGTGTGTGGTGATGGCCTGAAGAACTGTGCATAAGGGTTATAGAGGAGGGTTGCAGGGGCCACCTGAAGGGCTGCACCTGGGGTGTGTTGAGTAGGGCTGCAGAAGTGGCCCGAAGGGCAGCACATGGACCAACCCCATAAGGATGTGAACCTAAGAGTGGCCCAGAGAGGGGCTAGTGGCAGAGTTCAGCCCAGTGTAAGGCATAAGGCTGGTGATCACGTAGAGTAGGGTCTGTGTGAGGGTGGCCTGATGGGCTGCATGTGGACTGGCCAGAGTGGGAGTAAGAAAGCCTGAAGGGCTATGTAGAGTAGGGCCCAAGGGGGACCTGAAGGGGCCGTATGGAGTAGGGCAGGTTGAGTGGCCCAGGGAGGGGCAGTGTGCCTGAGGCCCTGTGAAGGGCAGAGTGTTAGGGTAGTGTACCAGGTAGAATGCTAGAGGCATAGCAAGGAGCAGAGTTTGGCCTGGCCACAGGCCAGAGCTGTTACCATCTTATGATGCCATCTGAGAGGCGTGGGGCAAAGTATAGGAAAGGTCAGCCATGTATAATGCTCTTGGCACTGCAGCATAAAATGGGCACCCTCCCATATTTTACACCAGTTACTTATTCGTCAAGTTGTAGCAGGCAAGGCAGAGTAAACTGCCCCTAGACAGGTGGGTGGGCCAGTGTTGACCTGGCCCTAAGATGGCTCCCTGTCACAGCGTGTAGCCCCCAGGAGCTTAGAAGCTGGATAGCCTTGGGCTAAATGAATGGCAACTCTGATTCCATACAGTGATATATGTTTTTAATCTATAACACATTGTCAGCTAAAGGTACTCTGAGGTAGTAATCCATCATTTTTGTTATATTGTTATGACTGTAAATCTTAAATTTACAGCAAGACAGCCCTCAACAATCACGACTGACCTCTGCCAACCTTTTGCCACTGTCAGCAGAACCTACCCTCAAGTGAGCTTTATGGAAGATTGTGTCATTTTTTTTTTTAACCATTTGCAGGAGGTCGCCAATTGATAATTAGGGCACAGCTCTATGTTAGTACTATACCTGCATTTTCTTGACCTCTGGGAAATCCCCTTGTGAAATTTGGTACTCTCGTTGCAGTTCTACATAGATCTCAGGTAGTCTGCTGATCAGCTCCTTCTTCTTGTTCTCTTTTCCAAAAACAGATGGCATTTCCTTTTTAAGGTGGCTGATGATATAAGCATGGACCTAGAAGAAATTAATGAGTTCTGACATTAGCTACAGAGTCTAGACTATTTTTTCATTAAAAGGAAAACAAAAACGTTAGCTGTGTACAAACACATCTTTAAAATAAAATGCATCAACCATTATTTATTGAACGAGTCCATAAAAACAGATCAGTGGTTCTCAACCTTTTTGGACTCAGGGCACCTCTTGTTAGACTCATGGCACTCCTCAGAAAATACCAGTTCTTTGTTTTCACTCATTTTTGAGTGCAGAAAAATAATAGAGCAACTTGTGTGTGGCAAAGAACTCAAAGGCCCCAACAGCTCAGAATGGTTTTAATATTATGTATTCTTATTTAAAACCTCTTGGTTTTATCTCGTGAATCATGTCTGCGCACCTAACAATGCTAACATTGCATGGCGGTCTGTGGCACCCTTTAAAAGATCTCATGGTACCCTGGTTGAGAATCAAATTACTGAGCTGAGAAGCTACTCTACTGCTAGCGAATTTTACGCATCTTATATTTCTGAGTTTGAAGAAACATGTGCTAGACAATGAATGTTTGTTTGCTCACTCCTGAGAGCTTAATTAAAACTACATATGCCCTTAAAAATCTTCATAAAAATATGGTTGAAAAATCAGGTGCAATTACAGTGAACTCTGGTTGATTTGTTCCTCTAAGGGAAATGGGAATAATAGCAAATTATCTGGTAGTGCACAATTATCAGGATATAATTAATAATACATATTATTATCACAATAATTGGGAGGCAGAAGAGAGGGCATTGCTCAGAAACTGGAACAGTGGTGACTTACTCCACAGAGAAACCAGGATAGATTTGCACCTTGAAGACTAACTGAATCAGAGTTCACTGTAATAAAAAGGAAGAACACTGTGCTTGGTCTATCAGTGCCAAAAGTGAGAGTGAATGGGGAATGGAGAGAGTTACTGATCCTTAAACATTGTTCGGTGTGGGCAGTCTTTGTGCCTCTTGCACCCCATTTTTAGTTTTTACTAAAATAAGCTCCCTCTGCCTTGCTACAAACAGCAATTTGGGAAGAGGAGGGAAAATGTCCTTTAAATAATCTAGGCATGGTAAATGATAGGGTTATCAGAGTGGAGTGAGTGAATAAATAGGAATGTGTGTCACTTGCAAAAGAGAGACTAAGCTGTTTCTATATTTATGCAGCCACTAGAAGATGACAAGAGCACTTATCATACTTTAATAACAACATGTGTCAACTGCTCCTGAAAAGGCAAAGGAGAAAAGCAGGGGCATTTCACCATAAAATGAAAGGCATTTCTTCAGCCCTACACTGTAGTGATCTATACACGGCTCACAAATCTAGAAACAGATGCCCTCTTCAGAATGTGACTAGCTGCGCTGCACGTCATGGCACAGCTGATCTGCTTCACTGACATCTATAGATGTCCCTGGAACTTTGGGTTGCCTGCCCTCTCAGGGTTTATGAGGCCCAATTCTGTGGGAAAAGGGCCCTAGGTGTTGTGTCCTGACTTGGGATGTGCATTTGCAAGTGGATGAAATTTTCTGAAAGGGTTCCCCCCCACATCTGAAGAATGGGTGCACTGAGGGAATCCCCATAGGGGTCCCCTGCTCTGCACTTGCACAATGTGCCCAGACCAGGAGTGCAGTAGCATGATAGGTGTGCCACAGCCCCACGCTTTTCTCCCTTGACTCACCAGGGGAATGCCCTGCAAGGGAATTCAGCCCCTGCCCTGACATAGAGGAGTATGTTTGCAACTAGAAGGTTTCCCCACCCCTGATCATGGACCCTGTACCAGGGTGAAGCAGCCCGGGCCCTCTTCCCACAGGATTGGGCCCATGAAGTTGGGGGAGTTCTTGCGGAGGGGTGGGGGGTGGAGAGTTATATAGATATCAGCCACGAAAAGGAGACACAAATTATTACTATGTTCATTGCCACCACAAAATTTAAACATGTGGAGCAACGAAGAGCTATGACATCCATTTACTTGGCTTTGTATAACCATAAATACTTTTATGGTGGCACAAAATCATTGTCCGCTTGCAGCCTTAGATTCTGACCCTGCAAAGACCATGCTCACAAGTTGTAGGGTGCAACCATTCTTGGTTTTTAACACTTCTTAATAGAGGCAGGAATGGAGGGGAAAATTCGAAAGCAGCCTTCTGTATAAGAGTTCAAGTATTGCTGAAAGATATGAAAGGATAATTTGGGAAAGCCATGTTTAGAATCCTACCCATTTTTAAGACTCCCAACAGATTAAATGGATTTCAAGCATATAGTAAGGCTTCTAGGAAAAAGAAAATATGGACATGAAAGTTCAAAAGGCACAAGTCACTATAGATTCATAGATTTAGGGTCGGAAGGGACCTAGTAGATCTTCTAGCCCGACCCCCCGCCAGGGCAGGAGAACAACAAAACCCCAAAACAAAAACGGGACTCAAATGAGTCCAGCCAGGTAGGCAACCAGCCTCTTCTTAAAGACCCCCAGGGTAGGGGCCAGCACCACTTCCCTTGGAAGTTGGTTCCAGCTCCTAGCCGCCCTAACTGTGAAGTAGTTTTTGCGGATGTCCAATCTATACCTCCTCTCCATCAACTTGTGCCCATTACTCCTTGTTATGCCAGCGGGCGCTAGGGGAAACAGCGTCTCCCCCAAACCCTTCTGGTCCCCCCTAGTGAGTTTATAGACGGTCACCAGGTCCCCCCTCAGCCTTCTCTTGTGGAGGCTGAATAGGTTCAGGTCCCGCAGTCTCTCACTGTAGGGTCTGCCCTGTTGTCCCCGGATCATGCGGGTGGCCCTCCTCTGGACCCTCTCCATGTTGTCCACATCCCTCTTGAAATGGGGCGCACAGAACTGGACACAATACTCCAGCTGTGGCCTGACCAGCGTCGCATAGAGGGGGAGGATCACCTCCTTGGCTCTACTCGAGATGCACCTGTGGATGCACGATAAGGTCCGGTTAGCCCTGTCAACCATGACCTCGCATTGTCGGCCCATGTTCATCTTGGAGTCAATAATGACTCCAAGATCTCTTTCTGCCTCCGTGCTCTCAAGTAGGGAGTTCCCCATTGTGTAAGTGCGCTGCTGGTTCCTACTGCCCAAGTGCAGCACCCTGCACTTGTCCGTATTGAAACTATACTCTAGCCATTAGTCCTACCAGTTAAACTGCTGCAAATAATCCCGTGTTTGTAGAGATATGAACTTTCCATCTTCAGAGTACTTTATAACTATGACCTAAACCGCACGTGACTTTGAGCTGATGCTCCAAAGAAAAGATAAAGCCCAGAATTTGACAACCGGTTGACATGTTTCTGTTTTATTTTTGGGTCTGCTCCAACCTTCAAGACAGGCAAAGAAGCGAGGGAGAAATGGAACCAACAAACATCACAGCAATTTTGTTCAAAGATGACTGAAGTTTTGCCTAAGAAATCATGTAACAGCTATTCTACCTTAAATTTTATATAAACAGGATTAGATTATTGCCTGTCTTAGGGATAAGCAGTTGACTTCCATTCTCATGGCTGTCAACTTAGCGCATTCCATGAAAAAACTAGTTTCATGTTTAAAAATTCTACTTCGAGAAGCTTGACTATACTTTCCATATTTTCTTCATTTACTTGCACCCACATCTGAATACAGATTAAACAGAATTTGTGTTAAATAAGATGTTATCCAGCTACTTTGGAAGTGGTTCAGATGAGATCAGAAAAAAAAATCCTAAGATTTTAAGAAATAAACATCAGGACGTCATGATGCCAAAATGGCATATTTCTTTGCTGAGACACAGTAGGCAACATTAATGTGCTCTGTCTACCTATTTTCCACACCTCAGAAAGATTTCAATTAGGGTTAGGTCACCCAGGATTGTTTTACCAGTATAATTATACAGTACAGTTTTAAAAAAGCAATATAATTCAATTAGTATAAGCCTCAGAGACAGCTTCTTATTCCAGTGTAGGAGTCAACCACACTGGAATCCCTTGCCAAACAACACTCAAGTGGAAAAGTTCCTCTCATACTGGAACAAGAATGTCCATATATATCAGGATAATTGCTGTGGTTTAAAATTCACACTATGTAGGCAAACCTCAAAACACTATAATCTGCATTTTAATGTTGCTGGAATAAAAAAAAAATAGCTACAATTTTCCTTTCGAGGAACAATGGTCACAAATTGACAGAGAGCGGATTTAGGCTAGATATCGGGAAAAACTTCTTCACAGTAACGGTGGCCAAAATTTGGAATGGGCTTCCAAGGGAGGTGGTGCTCTCCCTTACCTTGGGGGTCTTTAAGAGAAGGCTGGATAGGCATCTGGCTAGGGTCATCTCATCCCAGCACTCTTTCCTACCTGGGCAGGGGGGTCAGACTCTATGTTCTGTTAAGGTCCCTTCCGACCCTCATATCTATGAATTTCACCTGATTAGGTTAATTTGATTTGAATTATTTCCTGTTTTTGGGAGGGGGAGGAAGGGGAGAACTTTTAACTTCTTTTGCTTTACTGTTGAACCTCTAACAAAGGAAAGCTGCATGTTACAATAAGGTCAGATCAGAGCCCTGTGCCCAGCCAGTCCCAATCAGAGAATCAAGGCAATTCATCCCCTGAGGCTACAGAGGAAGCAACCCGGCAAACTCAGATCAGTGCCCTGAGCCCAGCTGGTTCTAGTGAGGCAATTAGGAGAACTGCAGTGATTGCCCCCACTAGAGGCCATCCTAAGGCTGCACTCATTCCAGCCCTTAAAAGCCAGACCCAGGCTACAATACTCTGTCCAGACAAAGACTTAGGTACTTGTTCCTGGCTTTCCTTTCTTTACTACTTGGATCTCTGGCCCTGACTCAGCTCACCCTGGCTTGGCTCTGGCTTCTGATTCTGACTCCAGCTCTGAACCTTGGCTTATCTCAACTCACCTCTGGCTCACCCTGACTTGGCACTGGTTCCAGTTTGGATGCCTGGCTCACCCTGACCTCGGCATTGACTACTATTTCCCCTGACTTGATCTTCAGCCTCCCAGTTCCCTG